TAGAATAGTAAACGAGGAGTAGATTTAATAGATACGATAGATGCTTCTTTAAGAAGTTTTGCTGATACTTTAATAGGTAAAGAATTAATTTGGAATAAAATTTTAATGTTTCTGGTGATTATATGCTAACGTTTTAGATATTTATGGTCCTTGATTGTCTTTTCAATCTCAAAAGAAAGAAATTCTCTACAACAACAGCACCATACAAGGCAAAGGTTGTCACTAAATATCTGCAAAAAGAACGAGTTGTAATGCTTCCCCACCCCCCTGTGGTTTGCTTTTGTTCTCTAAAATTAAGAAAGAACTTGGTGGGAAGAGGTTTGAGAGGATTCAAGACCTTGCACATGCTGTAAAATCAATAACAGATACATACCACAAGAAGAACATTTTAATTGCTTTCAAAATTGGCATATGAGACTGAGACATTGTATAAAAGTTAAGGGAAATATTTTGAGGGAATGAGTTAATATGTAAATAAAAAAATTTAGACATATAGTATCCATTCACAGTGCACAAAAAATAAATTTTTATTGGATATTTTTAAATACCTTATTAATTAACAGACCAAAAAATTCAAACTTTTTTTTTGAAAGATAAGAATGCCTAATCTTTATAACAATATTTTCAAAACTATTTGAACTCCCCATATATTGAGAAATTTTTTGGTTCGATATTTTTTGAAGATTTCAAAACTTCCCCATTGATCTGCAGGATATTTCAAAATAAAAGATTGAATGAAGGAAAAAGGGATATGATTTTTTTATCCCAATTCAAAAATAATATGGAGTACAGATATTTTTATCATTGTCTTTAAAATTTTTATTTACAATAATTTAAATTATTATTCTTAATATCAATGTCCAATGTATTATCATTGTCATCTTTGTTATCAATTTTAATTTCTTTACTATATTCTCTTTTTGAAAAATTTTCAGCATCAATTTTTCCTTTTTCAACATCAACAGTAGCTATAAGCAATAAAGGTAACACCAACATAATTGTCAAAACAAAATAAGTATAACGTAAATTACCAGTTAGATCATTAATAACTCCAGTTAAAAGTGTACCAATCCATGAAGAGCCCTAAATTAAATTAAAAACATTTTTAATTGGTTATTCTACATACAAATAATAATATTAAAATAATGTTTACCTTATCAGTAATTTCATACAAAGAGAAAAATTCATTTTCATGACCTTTAGGTATCAAACTTGCAAATAAAACTCTATAAAAACTCTGAGCAGCACCAAGCATCAAACCAAAAAAAACAACAGATAACCAAATCTCCCATTTTTCTTTTAAACCAAAAGGAGCAAAGAAACCAAACAATCCATAAATTGGTAATAAGGCTTCAAGTCCACAAACAATTAGAACCATTGTTTTTGTTGATAGACTTAGTTTTTGTTGCATGAATAAGAATAGATATGCACCAATGATTGCCATAAGTGGCACTAATAATGCACCAGTCAACAATTCAGCAAATGACAAATTAAATACTTTTTTACCAAAGATAACTGCAACTGATGAAATTGTATTCAAACCATCACTAATTATGAACCAGGCTAATAAAAGTTTCATAGTTTGCCAAAGTTGACGTGTTTTTGATAATGTCATGAAAACACGTTTAATTGAATATAAAAATATATTTTCATTACTAAATAAATATATATGAATATATATTAGAAATATTAAAAGAGCTTTGAAATTTGCATTTTCATGCTTCTCAAAAAATTTTCTTAATAATTTGCAAGCAAACCTTGGTAAAGGAGGGCCACTCCTATTTTTTAACCATAATAAAGGAAAAGTTGATAAGAATAAACACCAAGCACCAATTATTAGACATCCAATTTTAAGACTAAGTATAGAAGCATCCATTAAGCCAGCAATAGCAGCACATATTGCCAACAGAATTATACCAGTAGCTACACCTGTACCTATAGCATTAGTTGATAATTTGTTTCCATTGTATTCTATCAAGGTTTCAACTTCATGATAGCCTTTGTTAGGATCATTCCTTGCTTCTATGACATTAGGTAGAAGTCGAGAGTAGACTGGAATATAAGCTAGCAAGAATACATTTACTGCTCCAAAACATAAATTTCTATTTAATTTGAGATTTAAAATTAATGATGTGATTCTTTTGGAATAAATGTGAATTTGTTAATTGGAACTTACACAATTATGGTGAAAGTAGCAGCTAACCAATTTAATTCTAAAATTAATTAAAAATATTATTTTATATTTAATAAATAATCATATTTAATAAATAACATATTAATTAATAAATCATACCTGGTTCATAGACAAATATAAAACCAACTAGACTAAATCCACCCAAATAAGAGAAAAACAATAAAAAAAATTTTTTGTATTCTGAATGAAAATCAGAAAAAGGTTCAAATTATTAGTTTAATACTCACAGTTATAAACTCAAGCTTGTGCACAAACTTTTATACTTACTTCCATAGTCAGCCAAAGCTCCACAACTAATAAATACAAAAGCTTGTAATACAACAGAAATTGCTAGAACATAGAATGAGTAACTTTCAGTATTCACATAACCACTACCAAATTTTGTAATGCAATTATAATTTGGTTCAGTCTATTATATGGAAAAATAAAATTAGAATACTACATCACACAAATTATTTTACTATAAATACTTACAACATCACATGGGATATTTATATCACTAGCTTTAAACCCTGTTTGGCTAGCATAACTTTCTAATATGAGAGGTGTCAATATCGATATTGCTGCTACTCCATATGGTTCAATCTATGATGAATTAAAGAGTAGATAAAATGTGAATATTCTTATAGAGAATTAAACAAGGTAGAAGTAAAGAAGGAAAGAGAATTTACCGCCATGTTTTGTAAATACCAAGCCTTCAATTCTCGTGGAGTTACTGGTTCATTATCATAATAATCAATTACTTCCTCGCAGCCATTATCAGTTATTGATCTTTTGTCATCATTAGTATTATTTGATGATAAAGCATTCCGAATTATTGCCATTGGAAAAACCATTTGAAATAATTATAGCAAAATAAATAAATGTACTTGCATAAAAATGATTCATATTTTAGCACCAAAAGGAGGAAATATCATATATGCTCAGAAATGCAATAATAATTTATGTGTTACAATATTTTGAACTACATGACCAAATACGACAAAACTAGAGTTGTGTGAGATGCAACGTAATGTCGATCAATAACAAACTTTTTTTTAAAAAAATAAGAATATATATAAAAACTATATAAATAAAAATTGTATCAGAGCTTTCAGCTAAAGAGATACAAACATGAAACCAAGGGAAATTATAGAAAATATATCAAGCTTTTAAGTTATAGAGAGTTTTTTTTCTTGCAAAATAAAAAAAAAATTTTTTATATGTTCTAAAGAAATTGAAAAAAGATTGCTAATTAAGGCTCCGAACGAATCAATGAAATTCGAACCAATTCGAACTGTTTCGAATTCGAATCGAATTGAATCACTTAATTTTTGATTCGTTTCATTCAAAACGAAATCGAATCGAACAGATTCGAATATATAATTTGATTCGAACGGATTCGAATTCGGATTGATTTGATACAATTCGAACTGATTCGAATATATAATTTGATTTGAACTGATTTGATTTGATTCAAACTGACCGGTTCGAATCTATAATAATGAATCAAATACATTATATATAATAAATGAAAAAACTTTATTTTAATGTATATTTTATAATTTTATTTACAAAAATATTTTTTATTTTATATTTATTTATATAGTATAAATATTGTAAAATTCAAAAAAAAAATTTTTACCTGGAGAAATAATTGCATCTATTGTTGAAGAAATTGAAGAAGTGATGAAGCATCAGTAATATTAGTACCTAGGTTTAATGAATTGTACAACTGTAAATCGTTACTTTTTTACTCATTATTAGTCGTGTGACATTTTCCTGAGGCTGCTTTTCTATATTAATTCGTGATACGTGATAGAAGTAGATGATCGGCATATTTTTTAATAATAAAAAACGGGGTTAATATTAATAAAAAGTCACATTTTCTGAATCCAGACACGTCCATATAATTCTTTATTATTCTTTCATATCTCAAATTTTTTTTTTTTTATATCAGACATACTTTTATATCAAATCAAATTTTTAGCTAGCTGCATTCATATATTAAAAAAAATTTTTTGTACATATTGTATAAATATAAAATTTTTATTTAAATGCCTAAACGTAAAGAAGTTTCACCGACATTTGCATCTCAAAGAATAATTGACTTTAATTACACTATGGACCTTTTGCTCATCACTGGTGGCATGAAATTTCTACTGAAAATGGTTAGAATTTTACCCTATTTGTTTAGGCATGACAATTTTAACTGAACTAAATAGTAGAAAATTTTTGCTTTGTATTATTATGATAAGAGCCAAAGGTTCACACTGGAGGATATGCATAAAGAACTTATTGAAGAATCTGTTCATAATACCCAACTTTCTCATGATGAAATTCCTAAGGTAGAAACTATACGTAATTGGGTTTCTAGATACTCAGCAGAAATGAAAAGAGATGTAGCTGATAAAATGTTAGCAAATTACAATAAATGAATTTCAAGTAATTTA